CGCCAGCCGGAACCCGCCGCGGAGGGGCGTGGCCACGCGGGAGTCTGCGAATGCGACGGGCGGAGGAGTTTTATTCCCACCCCTGCGTGCCCGAGCTGGGAGGGAAATGTCCTCTGCCAGTTGTCAGGACTTCTCACTCACGTTTAAACCTCGATTTTCAGGTTTATTTACCTACGTGGTATTAGCATTTCAAAGAAATCCCATGACCTAATTTAAAGCACAGTTCTCCAAGTCGGAGCCCCGGACCAGTCTCATAGGCATCATCTGGATAACAAGAAATACTAATTATTGGATCCTACTTTGACCTAGTAAATCAGAAACTGGGGTGTGGACCAGCAATTCCCAATTTCGGTGCACACTCAAGTTTGAGACTGCTTCACAATCTGGTATTTTTCTGAATTCAGGTGCTGAGATGACCTCTTGCAACGTCAGCTTAACTAAATGAATTCGTTTCCCTTCAGGATTGTTGCCAACCTTGATGCTATTAGATGAAGTGGAAAATTAATTGCATGTCTAGAAAAGGGAGATCTTAGAAAAATTTGAATCAACAATGAATGCAAAATTCCAATTCTTCAGAAATTTTATTAATCATAACATCTCATTATAGACGGTTTGCCATCTTCTCGATTCAGACTTCCCTAAGCAAAGATAGTCCATGGGAAATAATGAATTCTCAGTAAGTATGCCTGTAACAGAAGTAAAATCTAATTTTATAATTCACACACACACCAAAAAAATGGAACGAGAAAGCTAAAACACATTTTTTGGGCTCTTCCACTCAGATAATGATCTCCTTTTTGATGCAGCGAGTGTGCAGCAAGCCAGGATGGGTTGGATTTGGGCAGGATAAACACACTAATCAATCATTCTCAAGCAGATCAGACTTTTCATATTTCATAACTTGTATGGGCTGATTCACATTTGCAGTTACTGTTTGCATTCATTTCTTCTCTGCATTCATATTTCTCCCCTAATTGAAGAAATAAAAAGATTTATCTGTTAGGTGCTATTTTTCCAGCCACAGTAACGTTTGCTGTACAGTGAAGAGGGCTCTTTTCACATTTGCTTGTATAACATGCCGAGGAAGCGCTACTCCAGTATAATGGTCATTATCAGCATGAACAGGTACTGACTCAATTCATGCTTAGTCAAGAGGTATTCCTGATATGATCTTTGTTCCAAATCCCACAACTACCCTTCTTGGGGTGGGGTTTAAACAGTTCAAAAGCTCATATTCTCTCTCTTTAGTTTTTGACTTCAAGAGAATTTGCCACTCTGATTTACGGTTTAATTCAGTGACTAAGAAAAACATAATGATTGCTAGCAATTGTTAAATGCTTACTAAATGTCCATAACTTTTTAAGAGCTTTACATGATTATCTCACTTAATCCTTAAGATAACTCTAAGTAGTAGTGTACTATTATCATTCTTGTTGTATACATGAAGCGAATCGCAGAAATGCCGAGTCACTCATTCTATTAAGCCATGGTGGCAACTCAGTTCTGGCCTCTCTTGCTGCCGTAGTAGACATGTGTTTACTTTGCTAAATTATGCCATGCTGCGTGACATGGGGGCTTTGGACTATATGGTATCTGCTCTACCTCCAAGGGGACTGGAGCCTAAAGATTAGCCATGTGGGTGGTCAGTCGTGTTTATGTGATGAAGCCCCAACAAAAGTTGGGGCGCCAAGGCTTGGGTGACCTTCCCTAGTGGGCGGTATGTTTTGTGTCATCACACATCAGTGGGTGCAGGAGGCGTTAACACTCTCCGTGACTCCACCCACCAGAAATTCCAAGTTTGAAACCCTCCTAGGTTCTGCTCCTGTGCCTCTTCCCTTGGCTGGTTTTATTCCAGTAAACCCTAACTTCGCGTATAGTAGCTTGCAGTGAGTTCTGTGAGTCCTCCTAGTGAATTATCAAATTTGAGGGTGATTTTGGAAACCCCTGAACTTTGCAGTTGGTGCTACATGTGAGGGCAGTCTTAGGGGCTGTCCCTTAACTTCGTACTACGTCACGATGATACTAATATCATACTTTGTTTATTATGCAAAAATTAGGATTGATATTTTTGCCTTCATTTAATGAGTTTGGCAGATCTGACATGAGCCCAAGTCTATCTGCCTGCAGATTTCCAGAGTGTGAAGCACTGTTTTGATTTTGAGTGAAAGATAAAGGGAAATGGAGGCAATTGCTGTGAGCTTCCTTGATCGTTTACTAGAAGGTTTTGACACAGGTCAAGAATCTACTTATAAAACTTCAGAACTAAATTCTATTCAGTTTCTTCCTTTATCTTCCTCTGCGAACTGTTAACTTGTTACCTTACACTTTAAACATTGTAGCTCTTTTAGTATTACTCAATATTAAGTCCTATATTTTAAGCAAATTATTAAATTAGCTTTAACTTCTCGTTCAGTTTTAAATTTTATTACTTTAGTTTTTTTCTCATATTATTTTCGTATATTTTCTTACGCCACAATATTTTCTTTGAATTTTAATTTTTATTGTATTTATTTTAATTCTTTACTGTATTTATTTTCTATTTTAATTCATTTTCTTCAAAAAGGCCAAGTCTGTTAGTTTGTGGGACATTCCGAAGATTATGCCCCAGAGACTGACTGGCTCACCACAGTGCCATTCAGGAGTTGTCAGATCAATTAATTCAGTTCGCTCAGTCCCCTTTCAAGGTGTCTGCTATGTGCTGCTCTGACTGCACTGCAGAGGCTACTATTTTGTCCCAGGGAAAAGCCCATGGGGACATCATGTGTGCATTTCATCGGCTTTGTCTCTGTGGACAGTGGTCAACTGCAGTCTAAATCGCTGGGATTCTTAAAGATCTACCACAAAAAAGTAGAGCTGCAGGTGATTCTCAGTTGATTTCTATCCAATGTCTAAAGCACAAATACGTTTTACATTCAAGTATTTAAAGCACAAAAATGATGATGCGCTGGTTTTAAAGTATGTCCACAAATGTTTTACTAATCTTATCTCGAAAGGTGGAGCCTTCTTTCCCCTCTAAATTTATGACAGAGTTAAATAACTGGCTTCTAATGAATAGAAAGTGGCAGAAGTGAGTGTGTGACATTCAAAACTAGGTCACAAAAGGCACTGTGGCCACTCTCTTTCTCTCTATGATTTCTCTTCCTGGGTGACAACAGCCACCATGTCTTTTGAAGAGAGTCAGCCTTCCAGACAGATCTATGTGGCAAGGAACTGAGGTCTCCCTGTGAACAGCCAAGAGGGACTTGTCTGGCATGCGGGCGAGCTGCCTCGGAAGGGACAGCTCCAGCTACAGTGCAGCCTTAGAGGTGACTGCGGTCTGTGCTTACATCTTGACTTCATCCTCTTGAGACACCCTGAGCCACAGCCACCCAAGCTACGTCATTTCTGGATTCCTGACCCACAGAAACTGAATGAAACAATAGATGTTCACAGATTTAGGCTGTCCACTTTCGGATAATTTGTTATACATAAATAGGTAATTAATAGAGGAGAGCCCACAATTAATGTTTCAAGCTGCTATAAACTTAATGTAAAATCTGATAAAGGTGAGCCCAAGAGATGAAATCAGATTGGTTTTACATATGAATAGAGATGGAAAAAATATTGAAATTTACGCAGTCATTATTTAAGATCATAATACGACACAACCAAATAATGTTTGGCCTAGGAATGCAAGCAGGGATCAACAGCAGGAAATCTACCTATGCGTCACTGCAATAGGCTAAAGGAGAAAAAGCACAGGATTTCATCAGATGCCAAAAGTTGAGAAATCATTCTTTAAAAAAACTCTTAAAATAGGATTAGAAGGAAACTACATCAACACAATAAAGATCACACACACACACACACACACACACACACACACACACAGAGAGAGAGAGAGACAGACAGACAAACAGAGAGAGAGAGACAGAGAGAGAGAGAGAGAGAGAGACAGAGAGAGAGAGAGACAGACAGAGAGACAGAGAGACAGACAGAGAGACAGAGAGACAGAGAGAAGAAAGTAATTATTCTATTATAAAAATAAAAGAAATATGCTCTACTAGGATTTATCTGAGGCAAACAGAATTCGTGGAGAAAGTAAAATTTTTACAGGGCCTTTCAGAAAGTATTATAAATCGGCTACCGAAGCCACATGGATGAAAAGGAGGAAAAAGTACGAGTGCTCGCATGTCTGATGTGGCATAGCCTGTGATTTGAGCTAACACAATGTGATAACAGCATTTGACAGAAATAGTTATTGGAAAGAACATCAAACATTTAAATTTGCTAATGACAGTATTATATGCATTGAAAATCAAGACAGTCTGCTGAATACTGATTAGAATGAACAGAATTCAGTCATTAGCTGGATACAAAATGCATGTAAATAATCAATTACTCAATTATCCTTCTCCCACAAGACTTCGCACAGTGCTTCCCTCTGATGCCATCTGTCAATACGGATTAAAAAGCACAGCTCTGTGAAAATCAGCATTACATTTGTTGTAAAAATTTCTGGGGTCACATTGTGATCCTCTTTTTGTTGTAACATTTTTCACTCCATTTAGTTTATTTCTCATTATACGAGTAATCCATCCATTCTAAAACGTTCTCGGCCATGGATCTTTTAAATTGCTCATCGGCATGGTTCTCTCTGGCTTGCACTTCCGGAATTCTGACTGGATGTATGTCAGACAATTTTTACTAATTCAAGATCTCTCTTACATTTCTCTGTATTTTGGATAATTCTTTAAGATCTGGTTATATAGTTCATTAAATTCTTTGGCTAGGTCCAATTGGGTATTAAACATACCGAGTAAGCTTTTCATTTTAAGTATTATAATTAATTGTGTATATACACACATCTATTTCTAGAGTTTTCATCTGGTTCTTTTTTCGAATCTATGTGGTCATTCTTTGTATTCTTAGTCCCTCAACATAAATCAAAGTCTTTATTTTCTTTTTAAGATATTAAAGTTATTTACTTGAAATTTGTTAATTCCCTTTTGTACACCTTTTGTTTCCACTGTCTGTGGCTCATATTCTTGGTGTTGGGTTAATTTGGGTTGTGAAGCAGCTCATTCTCTGTCTTTGGTATTTTATTGGTGGAGATTTGGTGAGGCCTAAGAGGAAGCTTATTCCTTCAGAGAGGATTTGTATTAGCCTTCTCTAGGTGCTCAAGGGCACAGAACTAGCTTGGGATAGCTCTAAATTAAATCCTCAGCCTGGGAGTCTAGAATCCCTGTGGTAGTAATGCCAGAAAAGAGACAGTGTGAAGGCTGCTTGGGGTCTGAGTTCTTGGTGGTGGGATCCGCTCTGATCAGCACCAGGATTCCGCACTCTCCCTTGACTGTGTGTGTGTGTGTGTGTGCACGCGCGTGTGTGTGCGTGTGTGTGTGTATGTGTGTGTGTGTTTATTTCATCCTTCTATTTTGAGAATGTAGCTTTTGCTCTGCCGTCTCAGCTTCAATGTGAAATATTGCTTATCAGGCTCCCCACAGGAATAGGCTTCGCTTAATCTCTTAAAAAAAATCAAGCTCAGGTTCAGGTGAAAGCCAGTTGTCTGCGATAATCTCTTATTATGGACAAGACCCCAAACTCCAGCACTAAGTAGTTAAGGGAGGGGCAGAACCTTCTCTTGAGCCCAAGGCTAAAATTACCTTTAGGTCAAAATAATCACATACCACTGAGACACATCTTGGGGTGGCTCATTCTGAACCCCCACAACATATGGAAAACCTATCCCCATAATCCATGAATCTGCGTTAGTGTGGGAGGCTGTGAGGACACCAGAATTTCTACATCCATTCCTCACAGCACCCTCCACTTAAATTCTCCATTTCAATGAGCACTGACCTCCCATCCCAGCTTCATTTACCTTCCAATTTTCTTGGTGAACTGTGAACCACAGATTCTTTTCTGGCCACTGTCCCTACTCCCCTTGCCTCTTCTCTGAGATTTCTTTTCTCTACAACAACCCAGTCCCCAGCAGCAAAAGTCCTTTATGCCAGACCACTTCATGCAGCAGAAGCCACATCCTGCCACAAGGCTTTCTTCCCCTTTCTACCTCCTCTCCGTCCTGGACACTCGTGGACATTGGGAAAGGCGGAAAGGGACTGACCAGGGGGTCTCAGTTCTAAGGTCACTATTGCTTATCCACAGACACCTTAATCTTGCTGGGCTTCTCTCCTGTGACCCAGGGGACTTTAAAACTGAATGTTGCCAAAAGAAGACTCCGAATTCAATAGGACTTTCTGGGAGAGAAGTTATACGAACTGACAGGATTCGAAGGGATCTCATGGATGGGCTTCAATTCCTCTCCCTCCGTGCCCTGCCCTTGGGACACAGCCTCACCCCACTGTCTTCTCGGAGCCTCACGCAGAAATTGGCCCAATCGCAAGGCAAACAAATCAGAAAAACCTCTGTAGCATTTCCATGAAAACATATTGTCTACAGCCTTTTTCCAGTAATACTTATTTATGGAGTTAAAAAACAGAAAAAATAAAATGAAAGTTCTGAGTAGAACAAAGCATGTCCTACTGTGCTCTAGGTGAAGTCAACCGCAAGCACGGGATGAATTTAGAGACCCGCACAGGGAAACGAACCGCACCCTAGAAATGACATCCTCACGTCAAATTAGTTAATAGTTACATAATACTGAGTGATTAAGCACTCTATAAAGCTATACTTGTTCACCGTGAGCTATTTACGGTAGCTATTGTTACAGCCTGGGAACCCTAAAGTATTTGCCACGCAGCTGTCATAGAACATGTAAAAAAAATGGCAATGTAGCTTTAAATTCAGACTGAGAAATCCGAGAGCGGAATGATTACAACTCGTTTGTTGAAAGCATGCGTGGCTCTGAAAAGAGCCTTTGAGGTTAGGGGCAAAACCGCTTACGTGCACGTCTACTTGGAGCTGGTGTACTTGGTGACGGCCTTGGTGCCCTCGGACACGGCGTGCTTGGCCAGCTCCCCGGGCAGCAGCAGGCGCACGGCCGTCTGGATCTCCCGCGACGTGATGGTCGAGCGCTTGTTGTAATGCGCCAGGCGCGACGCCTCGCCCGCGATGCGCTCGAAGATGTCGTTCACGAACGAGTTCATGATGCCCATGGCCTTGGACGAGATGCCGGTGTCGGGGTGCACCTGCTTCAGCACCTTGTACACGTACACCGAGTAGCTCTCCTTGCGGCTGCGCTTGCGCTTCTTGCCGTCCTTCTTCTGCGCCTTGGTCACCGCCTTCTTGGAGCCCTTCTTCGGGGCCGGGGCCGATTTTGTGGGCTCGGGCATTATAGCTCGAAACGTCACAACACGATCCCTAACGCCTGACAAAATAATCGCCGCGGCCAAGGCACATTTACTTATAGATGCGGTATTCAAATGAGGCTAGTACGATTTCACTCGTGATTGGGTTAATCTTAGTGTGTCGTCACAAATAACCATGTAAATGAACTGGCGGGCCTGCCTTTTCATTGGCTATTTCATTACTTCACTTGATCCAATCAGAAGGTCTAGACTACGCTACCCAGACTTACTATAAAAGGGCCCGTTCACGCCCCTGTGCTTTCTGAGTATGCCATGTATTTTCTGACAATGGTCTTGTCTGTACCTTCGTCGGTGGAGGCGATCCCTGTTCGCGTGGGTCGCTCCACGCATTGGGTCTGGGCCCCGCACCACTGGACACCCAAAGGCCGGACTGATGTTCTGGATACTGGAACTAAGAGGGTGGTGGCTGATAAGTGCATTACCTCGCGCCGGCAGCAGCTCAGCTAAGTAACTGAAACCACCAGCTCAGCCAACGTGCTGGGCTGGGCGACCCAGCTCATCAGCCCCCAAGCCCGCAATGACAGCTCTGCTTTTCGTTATGTCCTAACACAGGAAAGGAAATGTAGGCTCATTTTAGGAAACTGGTTTCCAAACACCTACAGTCACTTAGCGTTCTGCCTTGTCGGGCCATGTGTCGGGGTGTGGGACTTTAATTTGGAGCAGTGTACAAATTAAAAAGTAGTGCAGACGCGCGCCACCCATTTCGGCGCGCTGCAAATTGACCAGGTCAGGCCCTCGGGTCCAAACCAATTTCCCAGTACCATTGGCCCCAGCCGCTTTTCTGTCCTTAACACCCCAAAGGGACTGCGCTTGCGTATAAGCCGCCCCGCCCCGCCGTCTCCCTCCAGCCACGCCCCCCGCAAAGTGCAACAGCTCTCCTCTAGAGACCGGTGGGTGGCTCTGAAAAGAGCCTTTGGGTTGTGATCTTCTAACAGTGGGCCAAAGGAACTTCCTACTTCTTCTTGGCCGCCGCCTTCTTCGGCTTGGCAGCCTTAGGTTTGGCGGCTTTTGGCTTAGCAGCCTTGGGTTTCACCGCCTTAGCCTTGGCTGGGCTCTTGGGCGCCTTCTTGGCCTTGGCTGCCTTCGCCTTCTTCGGGCTCTTTGCCTTTTTGGCCCCGACAGCCGCCGCAGGCTTCTTCGCTTTCTTCGGGGTCTTCTTGGCGCTCTTCTTGGGGGTGGCCGAGCCCGCCGCCTTCTTGGGCTTCTTGGCCGCGCCGGCAGCCTTCTTGGGCTTGGCCGCGCCCGCTTTCTTGGCCTTAGGCTTGGCCTCGCCGGAGGCTGCCTTCTTGTTGAGCTTGAACGAGCCCGAGGCGCCGGTGCCCTTGGTCTGCACCAGGGTGCCCTTGCTCACCAGGCTCTTGAGGCCCAGCTTGATGCGGCTGTTGTTCTTCTCCACGTCGTAGCCGGCGGCCGCCAGCGCCTTCTTGAGCGCGGCCAGCGACACGCCGCTGCGCTCCTTGGAGGCGGCCACGGCCTTGGTGATGAGCTCGGACACCGGCGGCCCGGACGCCTTGCGTTTGGCGGCCCCGGTGGCTTTGCGGGCCTTCTTCTTCACGGGCGCCTTCTCGGCGGCGGCCGGGGCGGCGGGCGCTGCGGGCGCGGTCTCGGACATGCTGCGGGCGGGTGTGCAGAGGGGACTCGAGCCGGAAGCGGAGGCACTGGCCGGGACTCGGGCCGCGCCGCTGCGCCCGCGCGCTTATATAGGGCGGAGCTGCGCCGTGATTGGTGCGCTGTCCAGCCCGCCTCGCTGGCAGCCGCGGAGTGTCCTGTCGGATCCCGAGTTGTGTTTGTTACACCTCAAAAAATGACCAAAATATCAAAATCCCCTACACTGAATTGCCCGGTTTTTCTCAGAAATTGATCCCCCAAGCCTCAGGCTTCACGCAAGTCTCAAATTATGCAGAAAGCGCGAAACCTTAGGCCAAAAACCGGCAATATTTCCCACCGTGCTCGTCAGATTTCAACTCAGAGAAACAAAACTTTCTATTTTCTTCGTAAATTATAAACCGATCTTTCACTGTGGAGTTTTCTGACCTCTCAAATGTGATTCTCCAAGTGGTCAGCTTCCTCTATGTCCAAGAACCAAACCACTGGCATTAAGATTTTTATTACAAATCTGCGCTTAAGTGAGGGAAGTAACACAGGCTCCTCGGAGAGGCCTGCCTATTGAGCTGAGGGCATTTGAGTTCATCAAACTGGTTTACTTTAATGCCAAACAAATTATCGCCCATTTGGGGTTAAATTTTGCAGCCCTGGGACATCAGTCTATACAGCCATGGTTTTGTTTCTGTCTGCTGCACCTGGGATTTTAAATAATTCCGTAGGTTAATTTTTTCCTTTCTGCTCCTGAGGGTTGGGGGTGGGGCTGTCGCTGCCCTTCCTCTGGACAACTGCTCCATGAGTTTAGAGTCCTTGAATTCAGGATATTTAGGAAGGAAGGAGAGTCTAGAACACAGTGTACACGGAAACGGAAAAGGGTTCATTCTCAAAGAACCCCCAGATGACGTCCGTGAAGTCACTGGACGTGGAGGTGATCTTTGAAGACCGTCTGTGGGCTTGCGGGATTCTTTTGGCCCATGCTTCCGGGTCAGATTGTAATATACGAGTTTGAATCGAAATCCCAGCATTGATCATAAGGGGTAATCAATGAGAAGTGTAGATTATAATATACCCATTCCCGTTATTAGGGAACCCCAGACCCTCTTGTTACTTAATAGCTGGGATATGACTAGTCCGCACCCCTAATGTACTCCGACGGTGAAGATGACGGCCCTGTGTGTAATGAAGGAAACAAGCACAGGAAGGATTGAATGACACGTTCACATGTCCATTTTAGAAGCAGAGCTCTGAGGGGCCATGGAAGTTAAGTCATTGCCCTCCGAAGACACCCTATGCACCCCTCTGAAGGAGCAGGCCTGGGGAGGTAATTCCCGATCCACAGAGAGTACTTGTAGGCAATGAAAACCCAGCTGAAGGAATTATTCCCGGAAAACGGTCTGGATGGAATTGTCTTTGCAAACTGCAGCCTGTGTACTTGAGAGACAAAGTACAATTTGGGCCAGTGCTACAGGCCACACGATGTGGTCTGTGGGCGTGGCCGACTGTGACGCCGTCTTGGACAGCGCATTAATTTTTAGTTCCGTTGCTCCACATCTTCACGCACCGCAGATCTACTACTGAAATAGAAACAAGAATACAAATCTTTGATGCAACATTAATGAGATGTTTCAAAATAGTCTCGGTTAAATTAATGCTGAGGCTACGGCCACGCCACCCTGAACACGCCCGATCCCGTCTCCTCTCGGAAGCTAAGCAGGGTCGGGCCTGGTTAGTACTTGGATGGGAGACCACCTTAGAAGACCAGGTGCTGTAGGTGTAAAAAATGAAAAAATAAGGGATTGTAAGCTGACAAGTTCCTTGCAATCTGCGAGGTTAACCAAGGGTTGCCTCGCCTAAAACAGGAAAAAAAATTAATGCTGAATCTGGCACAAAGGTCATATAAATGATCGATTTTTAAAAGTTTTAATGTGTAAATATTTTCAATGTAATTAATGCATGCCAGTGAGAATTAAGTATGCCCTGCGGTATATATTAAAATAGAAAGGGAGGGGCTAACCATCAAACTAGGCAAACAGATTTCTGGGCATTTGATCCCAGAAGCATGGGTTATCTCATTTTCAATGACAAACGATAGCACTGCAGTAAATGGCTACAATTTGCATAACAAATTGACGTTTTCTCTCCAATGTTTCACTTTATTCTGTGTATTCTTTACTACTAAGGACATGGAGGCACTTAAACTTCCCCAATTCCAGGACGTTTTAACTCCCCTAGGTTCGTCTCCTTTGATACAGTGTGTTTTTCTTTGGGGAAAAAAAAAAAAAAACAACTATTTGACAGACTTGAAGAAGACGTTGAGAGTCTGCTATTATTAAATCAAGCATGTATTTGACATTCTAGGATGAAATAGCAGTAACACCTGAAGGCTCCACTTTCCTGCTCTGTCTGCTCAGCTGGCTCTCTCGGCACTACCCAGGGTGTGTGGATATTTGTGAGTGGGTATGTGGTTGTTTTATTGGGAAAAAATTCAACTAAGTAAATTCATAGATCTAACTGGCTTTACGAAGTGGTTCAAGAGCCAGGCAGCATCCCCTCTGAAACCTAGAAGGGCACTCCAAGGGGTTGTACAAAACGGGGAGATTTCATAGCAAGATGTGTGGGGCAAGGGCGTGGACGAAAAGGGAGTGCTGTGGGCCAGGGACTTTTTTTCTTTGGAGGAAGAGAAAAGGAAGGCTTTTTATTTATTTATTTATTTTCATGCAGATCGTCCATTCCTCCTTCCCGTGGGGGTGGGTGGAGGGGGCCCACGTGACAGATCACCACGCTGGCGCTTGATCAGAAAGTTTCATACTGGTTGACTAAGATTGTGTTTCTGGGATAAGCTGCAATTACATCAGGGGTTAAATCTAGGTTCAGTATCATGGGCTTTCGGCATGAGCGACACCATTTTGGGCCTGTGGTTTTTTACTTTAACAATTTCATGTAGATTCCAAAGTGTTGGTCCAGATGATTTTGAACCAATAACACCTATGGGTCTCAGAATCTCAGTATTTTTCAAGGTCCCCATGTTCCTCTGATGCCAAGTCTGGGAACCCTGCCCCTCTCAGTGGAGGTGACAACAGGTCAAAAGTGCTTCCTGTTGCGTGAGAGTTCTGTGGATTTCAGGGCTTGCCTATGAGCCCTTTCCAAGGAGGCCCATGCTGGATGACACCGCAGGTGGGGGCATGGAGCAGCGGCGACACGATCCTGCCGAGCTTGGGGTCACACACGCCTGGGCACCAGAGTGGGTGGAGGAGGAGAAAGGCGGGCAACGGCCACCGAGGGTGGACCGAATCTCGGTTGCTTTGGCCTCTGGGGTTCTCGGTACCGGCATCTCCACTTCTTACCCCGTTTTATCATTCTTAACAGCAATTACCCTTTCACTTATGGGCCGCGGTTCTGTGTGCTGCCTGCATTCTTGGCGAGTCGATGCAGCAATCCCCTGCTTTGGATAGTGTCCCCACGTTACGCGGGATGACGTGGGCTCGCACAGGTTAAGGAACTCTCCCGGGAAGGCTGCTGCGAAGACGCGCCTCCAGAATTCCAGCTAACATCTGTCCACCTCGAAGCACGGGCTCTCACAAACGGTGGTTTCCAGACAGCAGGTCTGAACCATCATGAAAGGGCGGGAAATCGATGTTGTGGCGCAAGGCCGCAATGCTTATTTTTAAATGAGCTAGAATAGAATACAAAACACCAGGGCCCAGTGCATGCAGCTTCTGGGACGTGCACAGCTCACTGAGAGCCGGGAGCGCGAGAAACACGCACTTGCCACTGCGCAGGCTCCGAGGCTGGTGGGCGGAGTCGTCCTGCGCGGTTGCAGCCAGGAGGCCTCAAGGGTATTAATTAATCTCCGATGAGCTAAAAAGGTAATTTACTGTTGTTGACTTTTTGAAGAGTCTCAAAGGAGCCCTGAGCGATGGAGCAGTCCACGTACGTGCCCGCGGGACAGTGGGGAGCAGTGACCTGCGGGGAAGTGGAAGGCGAGGGAGGCGTGCGCTTGGCCGCCCTCACTCCGCGTGCTGGCTTCTGCGCACTTGATTCTGGACTTGGATGCTTTCGTATGTCACCACGACGGCTAAACAAATGAGCCCCGTCCCGGCTTCCTCAAGGGAGCGGTGATGCGGCGGCCCTGTGAGGACCAGCTGCGAATCTCTGTTGGGACACACTGGCCCTTTCGGGACTTTTTAAATAGGCGTTTTATCTTAGCTTTCAGCGTAGAGCATGTCCGTAGAACTTTTCTTAAAAGGGGCTCGATGTTGTCGTAGAAATTGTTATTCTTTTTATCTGATTCGACAATGGAAACCGTGGGTCGCATGCGCGAGGTAATTCACTCATGGCTCACGGCGGCTTCGGAAAGAACTTCGTCGTCCGCACACGAGACAGTGGCGGTAAACGAGAGCACAGCGCAGGGACCTGCGGCCGCAGACGAGTGAGACAGATCTCTAGGAGCTGAGAAGGGGTGACTTCCAGGACGTGCGGTTAACGGGAAAAGTCAAGTGCGAGAGGCCCCGGAGCACGACGCCGTCTGTGAGGGGAAGAAGAGGAAGGAAGAAAAACACTTTTCTGCTCATTTGTGCAAAAAGACATACAGGGAGAACAAACCCCAAGCGAACAAGGTTGGTTGTCTGCGGGGAGGGAGGGTCAGACAGGAGTGGGAAGGAGGACGGGATGGGACAAAGCAGCAGCGAGGAGCGCGTGCCAGTCTTGAGTGACATTTTATCTAACGCTCACTCCTACGACTCTACTACTGTTTCCTGTACCAGCGAAGCGAACTATTAACAGCCACAGGGATGAGAGGACCCAACATAGAACACAGGGACTAGCAAATGAACCAAACCGTATTAAAATGATAACGAATTAACACAAGGGATTGAGGAAGGTAAATGTGAATTCAGATAACTGTGGAGAATGACACCTCAATCGGGTACGGCAAGGCTAAAGACAAAAAAAGTAACTATATATGAAGGTCGTGATCTAACGAGTGGTTCCCGTGGATATGGGTTAGTGATTCTGAAACTACTTATGTGTCTACTGGAATTCAGCAAAGCAGTGACTATGTTGTCAGAAACGATATCCAGTGTTC